CTTCAAAGTCTGATTGTGTGCCTCCCAAATAAGTGGAGTGGCTTTCCTGAAAAGCCCCACTTCTCTGCCCTCGACAGTGTGGGATGGACACCAGACACCACCGTAATCCCCTTTCCGCATCTGCAGCCTCCACCAATGGCAGTTCGCTGGGGCCTATGTGATGCTCTGACCTGCTGCGGGCCGCAGGAAGATATCATAAGAACTCAGCTGGCTATGGCAAAGTCACTACCTGGAGGGATCAGGGAATTCCTCCAGAGGAAGCCGAATTCCAAGGATCTTTTGGTGTTACTTGGCTTGTTATATATCAGCTGTCTTCTGTTATGAAAATCATGTGTGCCTTCAGAGTTTTCCCAATTGACTTTTCCCTAAGAAGGGCTAATAGGGTGGACTGATCACTCTCTGGACATACACATTCCAGGTATTTGGAGAACAGCCTCAGGAAAGGCTTTCTCTGGAATCAGTTATCTCCCTTAGCCACTCTCAAGGACTAACAGTAATAACAAGTTGTTGCTGGAGGGCTTCTCTCCAGGTTCCCCAAGCCCCGCAGTCTGAGTGATTATTTTATAAGTGGATTGTGGGACTGCGGGGCTTGGGGAACCTGGAGAGAAGCCCTCCAGCAACAAGTCTCCTGATTTAAGGTAAATTTCACAAGGAGACACCACCTAGGTCAGGTGGACGTTAGGTAATAGCTTTACACAATTCAGCTCCGACCCTCCTTTCTTACAGCCTTACCAACTTTATAGACCGCTAACTCCTTACCTAACCACTTCTAGGAATATTTAGATAACCTTCTGTGCTGACAGCTATGCTCAGCCAGAACCCTAGTTCAAGCCTCCCTGTAATTATCATCATTGGTAACATCTGGCCAGGTCCATTCCCAGATGGAGGAAAGTACCTTATCAGAGATACCTCTGCACTCTCTAAGAACAGACTTAAGCATCCAGGCTACCTGTTTGAGAAGGCCTGGTGGGTGTGTCAATTAAGCTTAACTTCCTCCTTTCCCAAATCTTACCTCCAGGTCCAGATCTCTCTTTAACTATCACCAGAGGCATCTATCTGTACACAGGTTGCCTAGCAACTGAGCACACTTCCCCCCACCCTGCAGAAAAACGGCAGATAGCTTGGACAGATAGGAGCCACAGGAATAAAGAAGATAGTTGTATTTTCTCCCATTGACCTAGCAACTTATAGATTCTTAACATTTTCTACTAATCACATTTAAGACTACAGTTGAGCACATAAGATCCCTCTTCTTAGATATTACCTGAATTTGGCTTTTAGTTAATTCATTTCCCCATTGGTCACTTCCCTTTGGGGTTGCAAATGATAATTAACAGTTACTGCCTCTCTATGTGATTCTTATCACCTCTCCGTTTGACCCTGGAAGCCTGGCTTTACATTGCTAAGGGAATACTGCTTGTAAATGTATATATACCAGGATTTCCAGGGCACGGGAGGACAGAGAAGAGAAAAGAGAATGGAAGAACTAGATGGGTAAGAACTGGAGAGGAACAAACTGAGATGGGGAAGAAGTAGATTGAAGGGCTAGAAGAGAGGACTAGAGGAACGAGATGGAAGATGAGGAAGAGCCAGATGGGGAAGAACAAGATGAGGAAGAACAAGATGAGAAAGGAGATGGGAGAGGAGCTGAGATGGGAAAGAACTAGATGGACGAGAACCTAGGAGGGGCAGAACTAGATGAAGGAATTAAGATAGAACCTAGAGGAGACAGCAGATGAATGTAGAGAGAAATCAGGCAAGAAAGGGGCTAGGCATGAGAGCAGAATATAAGCTTGTAGAGAGAGAACCGACACAAAATAATAAAGTATATGGACTAAGGAGTTTCCTGTACATAGATTCATTTCTTTTCATCAAAGATTAATTATCAGCTGGTTGTAGATTCTTCCCGGACCCTGGGAGGGGACTATCGAGGGGCTGGACCCCATGGTCTCCGATACTGACTCTCAGCTATCCTCCACATCCACGCTCACCATTCTGTGCCCTGAGAGGCTGATCCTTACAGACCACATCTCACACACAGACACCCTTCCTGCTGACTTCCAGGAGTACAGTCCATGGGAGAGGAAGGGAAAGGGGAGGCAGCAAGACACCCCCCAAGTGACCCCTGGGGGCAGGCAGTACCTAAGCATCTGCTGATAACAGTTATCTCCCTGATAACAAGGCCTCACCCTCCTGAGCTCTGGCACCATGATTGGCTGTTTAGCCTAGGGTCACTTGGCCAGTTTCTAGGTACCTCAATATCCACCCTTCATTTGTTCACTTAAGCCTTGACTAGTCCCTTAAGATCCATCATTTAAACCATCAAAGGGTGTTGTGCTCCTCACTGATATACTGGCCAGGCCTTGTCTTGTTAACTTTCCTATCAATCACTCAATGAATTTAAAAGCACTTACAAGACTTAACCACAAGAGAATATATAATTTTATATATATTTTATAATTATATACTTATATATTTTTATAATTATATATTAAATATAATATATATTATATATATTTGGAGGGAACAGTATTTTAATTGAATGGAAAACAATATGAAGGATTTTAGCTTGAGCCATCTCTAAGAGATTTTGAAGCATAAATGAGACTGAGTATGATACTTCATATATTATAACTATCCTATCAAGTATGATTTCCCTTCATTCTATGGAACAAAACAGGATGTGATGTTTTTTACACTGACATGAAAACTATATGAGTTCTAACTCACGTCCATACACCTATGTATTTGGAGAACATCAAATATTCATCTTCCCCGCCTAGGGAATTTTATTTTTCAAAATTAAAATTTAATTCTGCTATGTTTTTGTTCTCTATTTTTTACAAGATAAAATTTTTATCATGGCGAAAACCTTGATACTTCAGAATAACTAAGGGAAGGAGCTATTCTTTTAAAGGTTGAAAAACTGTTTAATGAAACATTTTAAACATGTGTACATTATATTGTTGTCTGGGTTTTTTTTTTGTTTTTTGTTTGTTTGTTTGTTTGTTTTCGAGCCAGGGTTTCTCTAGCTTTGGAGCCTGTCCTGGAACTCGCTTTGCAGACCAGGCTGGGCTTGAACTCACAGAGATCCACCTGGCTCTGCCTCCTGAGTGCTGGGATTAAAGGCATGCGCTACCACTGCCCGGCGTTGTCTGTTTTTTAATAAAAACAATTTTACCAAAGCCTTTGCTATATAACATATGTATTTAGATAAGAGTTAAATTTAAAAGGAAAAAATTACCATGCTAATTTCTCTTTTCAAATACACTCTGATGTTCAACTTTTTCCTCCATGAAGGTGCCATTTTAAGTATCCACTTGGGAGGGCCCACAGTTAAACACAAATACACAAAAGTATACTCACCCGGAATACAGCGCCCTCAGCCCTTCTTCTTGACCTATCCTCATCAGTGCGTGCAACATCCCTCGGTACCTGATTTCTCGGAAGTTGGCATCATTTGTCTGGCCTTGAATCTGGAGCCGTGTCTTGGTTAAATCAATTGGAAATGTGCCTAAAGAAAAGAGGTCGGGGGTTTAGCTTGGTGGTAGAGGGCTTGCCTAGCAATCACAAGGCCCTAGGTTTAGTCCTCAACTCTAGGGGGGAAAATGTTAAAGAAAAGGGAAAAAAAAAAATATCTCCCTGAAGAAAAGAAACATTAAAGGGCTGGGGAAAGGGATCACTTGGGAAAGTGTTTGCCTTATAAGCATAAAAATCTGAATATGATTCCCAGATGCCATATGAAAAGCTGAGCATGGTGAACACTCGGGGAAGTCAGGGGCTTGCTTGTTGGCCAGGCAAGTTCCAGGGCAGTGAGA